GCTCGAGGAGCCGCGGCAAAAGCCCTGCCAAAGGGGGGCTTAGTGAGGCTGTGAGGGGACGGCCGGACGGGACGCCGTCGCCACGCCTGTGCTGGCGTGCCACAGCCAGGTGCTAAGTGAGGGTAACTCCGCACCACCGCACCTGCATGCCCAGCTGCTCCGCTCCATTATTCCTTTCCTCTTGCACGGCGATTCACCCACCTTTCCTTTTACGGGTCTTTTCTCTCCCGTTATCTACTCTGCGCTAAAATAAAAGTCATTCTCGCTTTCCGAAAAGTCAACTTTTTTTAACTTTAACCAATTATATATAAAAGAATATTAATATTTATAATACATAATTAGGGGGTGTTTGGGATTGCCCTGCTCCACGTTTTTTAGCCAAATGGTTTAAGCTCCACGCACGTTGTTCGAGGAAAAATGATGGAGTTATGAGAACACCTAAAGAGGTGCTCCACAAACTCTAGTTTTTTTTAGAGCTGCTCTACAGTGGAGTTTATGGAGCAGAGTTTGTGAAGCAGTCCCAAACACCCTCTCAGTATCATTAGATAGATTATTGGGTATACTTCCCTAATTAACTTATTTGGAGATATATATGTCACACGTATTTTATACAAATCTAGTTAAATCTAAGAGAATTTGACCTGCACACATTTCATATGACTTTCTTTCCAGGATGGAGAGAGTATTTATTATTAGGATAAAAACAGACGGAACAAATCCCGTCCCATTTCATCTCAATTTTTAGTTTTGTACGGTCCCTTTATTGTATTTAGGGAGACGGGGAAATACAGAAACGGAGTGAAAAACAACATAAGAAACGGGACAAATTTCTCATGCGTTGTAAAGGACGATGTTAGTGTTTAGGGGAGAGCCTTGTTGTGCTCTTGTCCTAACATACATCATGATGACACGACTCGCTAACCATAGAGCACACCATACGCCATCACGTCATCCACGCATCCATGCATACCCGACGACTGAGGGCAACGCGAATGTACTTAGCTAGCTAGCTGCCTATAGCTACCCCGGCAAGCAGCATCGGTACGTATGTACTGCTATGTAGGAGTAGCCAGCTGCTGCAACTGCAACAAGGCATGCAGCAGAGAGGTAGTAGGTAGCTAGTAGCAATAGAATAGGCCATGCTCGATGGCTTGGAGCTTTCGCTGCGAATGGGATGACGGAGGATTCCTTCTCGTCGGCTGGGCGCGCCGCGCGCCCATCGACGTCCAACTGTGAGGACTGAGGAACGATCGAGGAGCTTAATATTGTCAGCAGCTATATCTGCGAACGTGGAACATGCGTCGGCCACTTTCCTCAAAATTAAACCCCAGCCTTTTTTTTTAGGCCAATCTCAATAGGTTTCATGTGAGTTTCATGGGCACTGTTTCATAGAGAGATGATGAAAGTTTCATAGGAGCAGAGATAGTTTCGTGGGACTAAAACTTTTCTGCACTGTTTCAAAAATACCATGAAACCCCATTGAATCTGGCATAAGAATCTGGAGGGGCTTGTGCCCCTACAGTTAACTTGATTGAAAATTAGAGAGAACCGAAAAGAACCGAAGAGTTACAAACAGATTAACAGAGTTTAGGAGCATGCCAGGTGTCGAAACACGGATTCGAATGAAATTCATCATGTCAACACAGCTACCCAACTCGATCGATCCAATTCCCTGTGAGCAGCTATATACGGCGAGGAACGAGTGCGAAATGAACGTGGCTCTGGTGGGTGTTTTGGCACGGGCCGGGGTCGCTGGGTCACTAGGGCTTGGTTTGTGCGGTGCCCTGAGGGCAAAACTTGCGGGGAACACGACATGAACATGAACAGCCCCGGGCGCCGGCCACCGGGTGAGTGGTAGGTAGCTAGTTTGGGTTCGTTCCAGCGTCTTTTTCGGTGGCGGTCAACGCCGCCCCCGGCCGACTGATGGATCGAATGGAAGAAGAGCCATGGAGATGGAAGGGGCCACGGACCTCGGACCAGGCGCGGGCGGCGGCCAGCGTGGCACACACCCACGTGGGGACCCCCGCGACACTCCTGGCCTCGTTTGGGACAACCCGGGCCTTTCCCCGGGCATGACCCCGGCGCACTTCTTCAGTTTCTTGGCGATGGCCACCGTGTCCATGTCTCGCTCGGGTTGGCCCTGCCCCAACCCCGGGCGTCACTCCCCGACCTAGGACGTCTGGGCGTCGCTCCCCGCCTCGTCGTGGGAGCCAGCGAGCGCCATGCAGCAGCATGGAACGGGACGAAAGGAAACCCAAGAGCAACAGGGGTCAGGGGAGAGAAATAGTAGTCTTGTTCCGTCCAACCCCGGGCGTGCCTTTACCTGGCTCCCAAAGGAATGTCCCCAGAGCACGCGGGCTTCTCTGGTGAAGTACCCGTCTTCCTGCATGGTACGACCCCAATGGGGATCTTTGCTCGGTCAAGCTCGCCATAGAGCGGCTGGAGCGAAGCGTCTCGGGTTTCGACTGCTTAGTGACCATTTGTTGGCCAGGCCTTCCGAGCAAGGGGAGGTCGGTCAACCATCCCATTGCTCAGAGTATAGACAGAGGCCTAGAGGCTTCAATCGGTACTTAGCGAGGGTGTGAGAGCGCACCCGCTAGTTGTAGCGCCTGAGTCACTGACCGATCTATAGAATTGGTCAAGGGATTAATTCCGTTGTAAGGGTATTTAGTATCGGGCTTATGTAACCTTGGATTGGTATTTGTCAGTATCTAAATTGGAAATGTAGTTTGCGAGATACTCCCTTGCATTCTGAAATGGTTATTGTATTTCATACAAGAAAAGGTCAATTTTACAAATTTTGATAAACAATTATTCAAACTACATACAAGTTTAGGACAAAAAACTTACAACAGTAGATTTGTATTCAAGTACCTCTGGCATGATATTGTTTCTTTGGCAAATAATAACAATCTGTTAGAGAAATGGGTGGTCAAAATCTATTATGCATGCCTTTTTGCTTATCAAAATACACTTTTTTTTTTTGAGACGGAGGGAGTAATATGGTTTAAAGATTATTAGGCCAATCTCAATGGTGAGTTTCATCTCACAGTTTTCAAGAGTGCCACATCATCTTTACAAGTTTGGTTGGATGAATGAAACAACATCTCTCAGTCTATAGTTTCGTCTCACGGTTTCATAGACTAGACAAAGCTTTAAATTATTGCAAGTCATTGTGATCTAATGTTCCTATGATTATGTGGCCACGTTTGGTCAAACGTAACACAAGAATGCACAAGCAGTAGGACGTTTCACACTCTGAATGCCGCTCTAATGCTCACAGGCCAGGCGCTCCAATTTGCGTCTGGTTTAGTTCGCGAAATATTTTGAAAATGGTACTGTAGTACTTTCGTTGTTATTTGACAATTAGTATCCAATCATAGTCTAATTAAGCTTAAAAGATTCGTCTCGTGAATTTCGTCTAAACTGTGTAATTAGTTTTATTTTTTATTTATATTTAATGCTTAATGCATGCGTCCAAAGATTCGATGTGACGGAAAATCTTGAAAAATTTTACAAAATTTTGGGAACTAAACAGGCTCTTGCCCAAAGAGCAACCAGACTATCTATAGCCTGTTCGATTGACTACTTCATATCGTTGCTGGTTTGTGAAGAAGTACTGCTGATTGGTTTATGTGAGAGAAAAATACTATTTCAGCTAGAAATTTACGATCGTTTATGATAAGCTATAGCCAAACGAACAGGCTGCTAGCGTTTGGAACTATAGAACGCTACTGCGCTAGCACCATGCAGTAAGAAAGAAAGAAGATAAACTATGCATATCTCACGAGATGGTAGACGCACGTATGGCTACTGGTAGTCTGAAAGTGCTGCCGAAGACAAGCTCACGAGATGGCAGGGAGTAGGACAGGCACAAGCGGCACAGGCACAGCGGATCGGAAAAAAGGCCGTGGATGAAACGGACGCAAGTTTCACACAGTTTCCTATGCGTTGGAAACGTTGCACGCTAGTTTCGTCCCTACCAAACTCTCTTCTTATAAATATAGTGCCAAATCATTATATTTGCTGAGGTGGCACCTCATTTAAGGCCTTGTTTAGTTCGCGAAATTTGGATTTTGGGCTACTGTAGCACTTTCGTTTTTATTTGACAAATAGTGTCCAAACATTGACTAATTAGGCTTAAAACATTCGTCTCGCAATTTCCCACCAAACTGTGCAATTAGTTTTTCTTTTCGTCTACATTTAATGCTCCATGCACAGGCCGCAAACATTCGATGTGACAGGTACTGTAGCAACTTTTTGAATTTTGGGGTCCAACTAAACAAGGGCTAATACCAACGAAACTCTAATGAAATCACTATTGATACGGGCCTTAGTCACGAAATACATGTCATCATTATTTGGCGCCAAAAACAAGGCCAATACATTTGGCGCCTAAGATCTAGCCAGCACAAGCAATGGACAATGGACCATAATTGACTAGACAAAAAAAAATTTTGGATGGAGGGAGTAGCTTCCAATCAAACCCTAGTCAATTTTTCAAGGAAAGTCAGTTTTCTTGACCTACTTCCTCTATTAAAAAAAGAATATAAATCTCGCTTTACGAGGAGTCAAAGGATCTTAGGTTTAACTAAGTTTATGGAACATATTATCTATATTTAGATTTCCAGTTGGATTTATTATGAAGATACATCGCATGATTAATCTAATGGTACTTATTACCATCATAAACATCAATACTTTCTTAAACAGATTTGGTCAAAATTATGAATCTTTTGTCAAGCCAAAATAACTTTGGCAATTTGTTTTTTTTTAGCAAAACTTTGGCAATTTGGTATGCACAAATTTTGGCAGGACTTTTGTGGGTCATAAACCAAACAGGGCCCTGCTACCGAGTTGGGCTAGTTGGCCCATTTGGCACCTAGGGTTTGCGGGGAGTCCTATATATATCGGGGGGCTCCCCATCAGCCTCTTCTCCTCGGTCTAATCTAAGGCAGTCGTCGCCGCCGCCGCCGCAACCGCAGGAAGTTAGGAGGGCGATGGAGAGCGGGGGTGAGAGGAGGGCGATGGAGAGCGGGGGTGAGAAGAGGGCGATGGAGAACGGGGGTGAGAGGAGGGCGACGGAGAACGGGGGAGGGAGGATGCGGAGGTTCCCCCCCACGGAGTGGGTCATGTGTTCCACGTGCTCCGGGTTTGTGTTCAGGAAGAGACGCACATCCGAGGTGGTGGAGGTGGTGAAGGAAGCCGAGAAGATGCGGGACTTGATGAAGGCGGTGCTGCGGCACGGGCCCCTCCAGGAGATAGAGCCGGCTGAGGCGACGAAGAAGCAGTGGCAGGACCTGCAGACGAGGAGGAGGATTATGATGGAGACCAAGAGGTGCCCGACTTGCTCCGGTTCGCTGTTAGAGGTGTGCCCGACTTGCTGCCATTCGCTGTTACAGAAGCCCGGGCCCGATGAGGAAGACAAGGCGATGGTAGCTGACCCCGGATCGAAGGCCGGATTGAAGGAGAAGAAGAAGAGATCGAGGGAGGAGAGCAGCGCTGACCCCGGATCGAAGGCTGGATTGAAGGAGAAGAAGAAGAGATCGAGGGAGGAGGGCAGCGAGTTGATGGCTGTCCTTCCGTCGCAGGGCGGGAATCAGAGGAAGAAGATTGCGACGGAGGACGAGGCGATGGTGGCAGACGCCAGATCGGAGCAGAAGTCGAAGCGATCGAGGGAGGAGGGCAAGACATCTAGCAGCGGATTGAAGGAGAGGAAGAAGGCGAAGAGTGAGGATGAGGAGGGCAGCGGATCAAAGAAGAAGGCTAAGAGATCGTGCGAGGTATTTCTTTTATTTTCAGAATAGCTTTCTTTTGAATCCATTTTCAAGTTCGATTAGAAGGATAGATGAGAACAGTAAAAGGAAAATAAAATATTTATTTCAATAAGTTCCCCTTTTTTAGCTAAACTGCTTGAAGTCCGGGCAAAAAGGGGTACTCTTTCTATAACTACATTAGTATTAGTCTTGAAAATCTTTAAGCAGGAAATAGCTAGCGTAGAATTTGTTTGATTTAGAACACTTATATCAATAAAATAGTTTGAACTATTTACTAGAAGGGCACACATCCTCTTTTAAAATGCCAAATCGGTGGCCTATGTATAAAAAAAAGAGTTTTTTTTGGATTTGAAGGAAAATAAAAGGAATTCTATCTATTTTTATTTTCCATTTATTTAGTTTGTTTCTCTTAATGAAACTGAAATTATTAACTAACAGATGGAGGGCAGTGGATCGAAGGAGGAGGTGAAGATGGAGGGCAGCGGATCGAAGGAGGAGGCGAAGATGGAGGGCAGCGGATCAGAGATGGAGGGCAGCGGATCAAAGGAGGAGGCGAAGATGGAGGGCAGCGGATCGAAGGAGGAGGCCAAGATAGAGGACATCATCAAATCGATTGGCGGAAATAGGAAGACTAAGATGGAGATTAGGAGGTTGCTCAAGAAGACTGTCGAGATTTTGAATCAGGCCCCTGTCAAGCCTCAATCGAAGGAGGAGGCAAAGATGAAGGACAGCGAATCCGCTGTCAGAAATAGGAAGACTAAGATGGTGACTAAGAGGTTGGACAAGAAGTCAATTGATATTTTGAGGAAGCAGCCCCCTCCCAAGCCTGTCATCTACAATACGCGTTACGTGAACCCACACTTGCTTGATATGATTACTGCCCATGATGAGGTTAATTGTGTGTTCCATGAGTACTTGCAATGCCATTCCTTGATCAAGGGGTATGCTGAGTACCAGGTGGAGGTCACCGATGACGAAGACGATGACCACAAGTTGGTGTAGCACTGTTGTCACAAGGAAGCTGGTGCTGGCATTTGGGCTTGAATTATGCTGTGCTGATAGACGTGAGTATAAATTTGGTGATCTTCAATCAGAGATGGCAAATATGAATACATTTTGGGAGCTTCCTGAAGCTGTTAATCGGCACAGTGGCTCCTACTCTGTAAGAGAAGTTCATTTGGTTACTACTATTATATTATATAATTTGCAAGTAGGATGCCCATATAGGAAATTCTTTCAGGAACGTTGGATAGCTGGAACTCATGGTAAATAGTCTATGCTTTGTGGATTAGATTTAAAAAGATTTATATGACTCTCATGTACCATATGAATTTGTAATATGATAATAACATGCTGTTACAAATTCCAAAGAAAACTTCAGGTCTTCTCCATGGCACAGTTCTTTTCGGCTGTCGAAACTAATATAAAGATGTACTCCTAAGTGGAATTGTTGATTTCTCCAAGATTTACATTATGTTACTATTTTAGTATATGATCAGTAGTAGGGATGAAAATGAATCGGATACGGATGGATAACACTAATATTATATTTGTTTTCATATTTATGTCCGAATTCGGATTCGAGTATATGATCAGTACAAAGTAGGTTAGAAAATGGATGCTATTTGGCAGGGATGTTTCAAAAATTTTATTGTGTTCCAAGTAGCATGCCCATATAGGAAATTCTTTCAGGAACCCTGCATAGTTGGAACTCATGGTAAACAGTCCTTTGTGGATTAGATGTAAAACAACATGATTTTGTACAAATTCAAAATAAAATTTCAGGTCTTCTCCATGGCACAGTTCTTTTGAGCTGTCTAAACTAATATAAAGATGTACTGCTAAGTGGGTGTCGGTGTTTCGAACTAGCACCAACGAGTAAATTTATGTTTGCGCGTCAAGGCTCGGATGGTGTGCAAGGTGATACGAGGATGTATACTGGTTCGGGCAGAACGTCCTTACGTCCAGTGGCGAGCAGCGAGCGGCTGCCCGTGCTTGCACTAAGTCTATAATAGGGGGTTACAAACTGTCGAGAGAGGGAAAGTTCCCTGATCTCTGTGAGCGAGTGTGTATGTGAGAGCGATGGTTCGTGTTCTCCTATCCTAGATGGGAAGCCCTGCCTTCCCTTTTATAGGTCAAGGGAAGGACAGGTTACAAACGTCAAGGAAATGAGGTCAAGGAGGAAAGGAAGAAAGAGAAAAACAAAAGATAGGGTAGTCAATGGCTTCGTCTTCTCTTCCTTCCGGGTCATCCTTGTGGATAGCGCGGTTACTGATGGTGACAGGCGCCACTCCTAGCTCCGGTTGGTCCGTACGGGTTCGGCTGACCGGGGTGAGGCCCTCCATCTCGTTACAGGGGACGAGATGGCCAAAAGCGGCGATGGGACGTCCGCCGTACACGGATTAGGCAACACAGTGCCCTCATGTAGCCACACCCTGGGCCGTCGTGGGAGCCCAGGCTTGATATGTCGCTCCTGGGCTGACGGGCTCTGCCCAGGGGTGGTTGAGGATGACGCGAGCCACTCGTGGCCCATTCGTCCCCGTACGGGGTAGTCAGAAAGGACGTAGGGATTCGGGGCCTTGGCCTTAACTGCTCCGCCCGAGGGCCATTCTGCATAATGTCACGAGGCGGAAACCCGCACAGGAGAGTCGGGCGAGACGGAGCGTGCCTCCGCAAGGTCGGGCAAGATGCAGAGCGCCCGTGGGTTGGGCGGTGCGGTGCGCTCCGCTGGGTCGATTGTTTGAGGGACCCGTGTCCCTTGGGTTGGTCTCTTCATCCCGCTGGCCAGCCGGGCGGGCCCACCTTTCGGGTCAGGCGAGACGGAAACCTCCTCCAAGGGGTAGGCCAGGGCAGGACCCACGTCCCAGGGGTCGGGACGGGTCGAATGGCCCTGCTTTATTATCGGCTGGATCAGTATTTATGCGGGCTAACTTCTCGTCATCAGTAGTCGTGATATTTATATCCGACAGTGGGATTGTTGATTTCTCCAAGATTTACACTATGTTACTTTCTGGAAGCTATTTGGTAGGGATATTTCAAATTTTTTATTGTGTGATTATTTTCTATGTAAGGACCACTTTTGGGATGCTGGCCCTGAGACCTGAGATGATTTGGTTACTTGCTGGCTTGCCGTTACCCTCCATACCTCGAAATTGCATTTACGCTTTTCTTGACTAATAATTAGATTTGATTTGAAGAGTCATTGAGGAATCTTGGGTTTTCGGATGCTTGTCTAACCACTCTTTCTTCTGAAGGTATGCAAGGAAAATATTTTGGCTATCGCAGCCGGTTAATCGACTTGTACTTGTCGTAATAATATTTCTCGCTCGCTACTAACCTTTGGCTTACAAGATTTCTCTTTTGTCATGTAGATTCAGTCATCCAATGTCCCTGAGATTCTTAGGGAATGTACTAAGAAATACAAGTAACCCTTATGAATATGTTTAGGCATAAATCTATCATAATAATAGACACGTGCGTGCCGCTCGAGCATAGGAACTAGTATATATAATATAATAAAACCTGCTTGTAGGCAGGATCAGGTGTACGGCAAAGTGTAGATACGGACGACAACCAATGGGCTGCCAGCGCCGCCAACCGATCTTCCTCAGCGGCGACCCCGCGTCGGCCCAGACCCCACCGCCGCCGCTCTCCCGTCGAGGAAGGCGTCAAAGAAGAAATGAAACTCCTCACTTGCTCTTCGCTGGTGGGCTTGGAAGCAGCTGCCAAGGCTGGCCACAAAGAAGAAATGAAACTCCTGCTCTGTCTTTTCCACAGAACAGAGGACGAGCATTAGCAAGGGTGGTACAGGTACTCAACTTACCTGGTAGCAAGCAATCAGCGAGCTGGCGAAACCGAACGCGCCCGTGACACGAGGGGTCACCTTCTTCGGGGCCAGCTGCAGGAGCCCCATGGCGACCACGATGTCGATGAGGGCCAGCAGCCGCTCGTTGGACTTCTGCAGCTTCATGCGGTACTGCTCGTTCTGGCACACAGATTACAGTCAATTTCCTTTTTTTAAGAATACACAGATACAGCAAAATGCATCAGAGAGAAGAGACGTGGAGAGCAGTTCCATTTTCATCGAGGTGACAAGGTGTACAATACGTATGTCTTTGGTTCAACAGAAAGTGTACCGTGTAGTCTTTTACAACTCTTGGTGTTTCAGCTCCTTCTCTAGCTTCTTCATTGACGCGGATAACCGTTGGAGCTCAGCTAGCTGCACGGTTTGAGCAAGCATCAGGTGTGGTAACAACATCATGCCGAAAACCGTATAGGTTCACATGATAGAATTGTTTCCAGACGAAGATGGTTACATGCTTATACATGATATAATACACTAGAAGCAGCGACGTACCTCGATAATGGTTGTGCAGGTGTTTGAACCGAGGAAGCAATAAAATGCTATCCTTCCAAGGAACTCCGCTCGCTCCTTGTTCTGTAATGTATAAATAATCGGATTAGTTTCCTGTCTCTTGTTTGTCATCATGTAGTAAGGGCACGTACAACGGGCTTCCAAGTGCCGTCTGTATGATGTAATTTTTGCAAAATACTCCCTCGCGAACTGCATTCAAAGAAGAGAGATGCAAGCTGTCGTCTGGTGAAACGACAGCATCGGCTCGTCGTCCCACGCCAAACCGACGCCTTCGCCGCTGTTGTATGAATCGTCGACTCGAGCGCCAAATTCTCGTGGATTGAGTCACGGTAGATGGTGGGTTACAGATGAGCGAGTCGAGCGGCATCCCTGCACGGCGGAAGCTATCCACGAACTGCCGCATGCTGTCGAGGGAGGCAAGGTCCAGGCACGTGATGGTGTAGCTCTTTCTGATGAGCGACGCCACCTGCAGCTTCTGGTCGCACTGCTGTTCATGGCGAAGTGACTATTGGGAGGCGGTGAGTGGCCGCGAGCTCGTCGACGGTACTTGTACGCAGGCCGAGGAGCGAGGAATTGCTGGCTTCAAGGCCGGTGCGGGGAGCTCGCCGCACTGCTCATCGCCCCAGCAAGGCCGAGCACTGGAATTTTGTCTCGTCATGATGGAGGAGACGCTAGAGAGAATACAGAAGAGATAGAAAGAGAAAAAAAAACGGAGATAAGAACCACACGGTCACGAGTGAGCAGAGGTAGAGGATAGGAAGATATAGAGCAATATGGTATTTTCATGTACTTTTGTTTTTTTTTGTCATTGTTTTTTCTTTACTTTCCATCTATTTTTAATATATTTCTAATTTGTTTATGCTTGATCTTTTGTAGCAATGGTTGTCTTATTTATGCTTAATTTTTTTTTATCAACAAGCAACACAATGGTATACATGAATCATATTTAGGCTTGATCATGACTACATGCAGGCATTAAATAATTAACAGACAGCTAAACAGACAACCCACTATACATGCTGTCTGTTTAGCTGTCTGTATGTAGTACGACGTCATCATATAGACAGGAAGCCGTCTGTGGGTTGTACATGCCCTAAGTCGTATTGACTTCCATACGTAATTTCTCTAACAGAGTTCTGTATCAACTTTTTCCCCCTTTTGTTTATCTGAACACAAAGGATAGCAACACCCAGTCCTTTTCCCATGCCAAAATAGAAGACACAGGGCAAGACCAAAGCAAATCAAACTTTTTCTTGCATGAAGATGTGAAAGGAAATTCATACCTTGTATATTCCTGTCCTCCCAGCCCACACAATTTGGTCCAGGAAGAGGAAAGTTGACAGCATCGCATTTTTCGACTGGAATATGCATAAACAAAATCAATCAGAAAACTTCAGAGCAAAACCATCCTCAGCTGAACAAGTTCTCATGTAATGCAAACTTCAGCAATCATCATACCTTCCCGAGTAAGATCAGTGGAAGTGGAGTTCCCTTGGCAGGAGGACTAATTAAAGCGTGAAGATCGTTGACAAACTGTAAATAAGGAAAGACTGGGTCATAAATCACACCAAGATGCTAAGCCTTTCAATTTGAAAGCAGTAGTACTAAGCAAACGATTATGCAGTACCTTAAAAAGCCGGAAAACTTTCCGAGCTAAACTAGTTGACTTGTCAACATTCTGTGCAGGCCCTGGTTCTCCATTGCTCAGGAACTTTGATCCATACTGTATCGCTCGGCAGATTTTATCCCTTGCCTCAGCCTTGTTTAGGTACAAAATAACCAGGGCAAGATCTCCTCTCACGGTGTCCAGAGAACTCATACTGTATCTTCAGTAACTGCATAAGTGACACCTAGTCAAAACTATGGAGGCGAATGGATGGACGTCACAATGACAGGAGCAGGTATGCAATTGAAGCACACACGGAGAAACTGAAAATTGGTGTGGACACTCAATGGATGAACTATCCTGCATAGTTGATTGGTTATGCATAGATAAATGATTCTACAATCCGTAAGATTAAAAGTAGCTAATAACCTTTGCAATCCGTAAGATTAAAAGTAGCTAATACGGTTGGGAGGAAAAGATCAGTTAGCTCAATTCCATGAGATGTAATTTCGCTTGCGCCACCAAACTTAGCTCGATGCAAGATCCACGCTGCGGCCATCGAGCTGGAGCTGGGCAGCAACAGCCACCTGAGGCACCAACATCAGCAGCGCCGCCACGAGTTGACGGCGTGAGCCCTCCCAAGTCGCATCCATGGTGCGGTAATTCCTTGAAGGTCGCCGGGTGGCACATCGTCAGTTTTGCCACCATATTCGCAACAGGAAACACAACTTTCGTTCGAATTGCATGTGTTAAGTTTGCCGCTAGCATTCATCCTGAGCCAAATCGAACTCTCCATGAAATTCATAGTTGCATTACTTATAACTTCCTTATTCGTAGACAAAGTAAATTCATAATTGTCTTTCCTTCCGAGGATATATAACTTGTATCCATGCACTTCGCTTAGTCTCCTACTCTATTTTACCATTTCTCTGGTTTAATTTTAGGTCTCAAACATGAAGACAAAAAAGAGTGATACTACAGATTTAAGGGTTTTCTTAGAAAGGGCTATTATGAAGAAGAAACGATCACAAATCCAAGGGCCGCTATGAAGAATAACAATCATAAACTGGAGCTAAACAAGAAAGAGTTACTTCATTTACCAAAGAAAGCCATATGCAATTGGTTGTTTTCATAGCCTCCATATATTTCGGATGTTGCCACTTTGATATGTTGAATTATTGGCACTTATTTATGTTAATTGTTAAACAATTTCAATTTATGCATAAATTCTATGAATTTATGAAATCATGCTCAAATATGTGTTCTATATTTGCTACATATTATAAATTAGAACTGTATGGTGTTATACAAGCCAAATATTAGGCTTTAGGAGTTTAGGTTGTTAACAAAATGAACAACCTATCACGCAGGCTCAAAAATACTAGGTCATAGTTCAATTGGTCAGAATCTTTGTGGTGAAACATGTCCATATAGTTTGAGTCTCAGCATGAATGCTAGTATTTGTGGTTAATTATTTTTTAATGGTAAACAACATACCCAACAACGAGATAACTTTGGTTCTTTCGTTAATTTTAAGATATGTTAGCTTAGCAACTTGGAGGTACTAAGATATGGTTTCTATGTCTTATTCATCGGACGTGTGCAGTTACATACATATAGTTGTTTGCGTTTATACCGTGCTTTAAAAAACAACACGAACTAAGAATGCAACTTTAAAGCCACTTGATTTTCTATTAAACAGTTCCACTTTAATATGTGTGTTTCTAGTTGATCTTGCATAAACTACTTAGTATTTCATATATTATAAGTTCATATGCAAATGAATAAAATGGTATCTGAAATTTCATACTCTCTTCAATGAGAGATTAAAGAGAAAATCGTGTACTACTTCTTAGAATGTCAGTACATCTAGAGTTCACTTTTCAAATAAGTCAAAAAAATACTAGAGATATGGCCCCTGGTATCCAAGATACTCCAGCTGACCAGCGCCAGCCCATGTACACTAAACCAAGGCATCCCTACCAGTTGCGTGTGGGTTTAGCCATTTGGTAGTGTATAAAAAGTTCCATCCTTCGCCTCGAAGCACACGTGATGAGGATGTCGGCCTGTTTCTTTGGCTGTGGCTTGTCGTAAACGATTGTAAATTTTCAACTGGAACAGTATTTTTCTCTCACATAAATCAGCCAGCAGTACTTCTTTACGAACCAGCAACGAAACGAACCAGCCAACCGAACAGGCTAGTCATTAGGCACTAAAAATCCCCAGATTTGCCGATGTTTGGAAGGTCGCTCAAGACCCTTCATTTGGATTTATATCATTTGTACCATATATATAAGACTGACTCTTGTGGTCATCTTCTTCTATAGTTGGTAAATACCATAGTTCTTATTAGTTTTTTAAAAAGAAAAGTTTCCCTTTGAAGGAACTTTAATCGAATCAATATATTTTTTAAATTAATTGAATCAATAGTTAAGTCGGACGCTACAACTCTAAGAGCAAGTATAACAGCAGGCTGAATGCCGAGGACTGAGGTGGAAGAGAGATGAGATGAGAGAGAAGGGAAGAGGGCTGTAAGTTTATAGCCAGCTTAGACACAAGAACCGAAAAACTTGTGAAAGAGACAAGTGGGCCATGTATTAATGGTGAAGAGCTAACTACTAGGCCACGTTCGGTTTGCTGAATCTTGGCTGAAAAATACTATTTTGCTGAATTATTGTGAGAGAAAACACTGTTCCGACTGAAAAAACAAGCCGAATCTAGGATAAGCCGAACCGGGCCTATATGGGCGGGTGAGAGGCAGACTGTAAAGATCCTTACAGCCAGCAGCTGGCTATATTAGCCTTGCTATGAGAGTTTGTTTCAATTCACATAAATTCGTTATGTGGACTGGAGTAGACTAGGGGGATTAAGGACACCTTAGTTGATCTCCGTTTCCAGGTCACATGTGTCAGGTGAGAACGCATTTATCCAAATTAGTTGATTAATATGTCAATTCATTGGTGTGTCTCTGTATATCACCTCTCATCGTGTATAACCTCGGAGATAAAGGATTTTCTAAGCTATGCAACACGTGTGCCTTGGCTCCCCTTGAAGTACTCACGCACTTGAACTTTTTTCTTTACTTAGAGCATCACCCTCTGGTCCTTCTGGACTCTGGGTATCAATTATCCTCTTTTTCTTTGAGCAGCCACAACGAGAGAAAAAATCGATGCTCGGAAAGGAGAGAGAAGGTTGAAGCATCGTCTTTCATGTTGCAGTGTGCGGTGTTTATATAAAAAAAATACCGACATCAATGCTTATTCAGTCGTCATTGGTGCTCGGTTGTTAAAAAGTATTTCATCTCTCTTGTGCTTGCACCTATGTGTTAGGCGTGGGGAGTGCCACTGCGGGTGACTTCCAACTTTGGCGAGATGAAATCTATCGAATTGTGAAATTAGGGAAGGGGGGGGTGTACGGTGTTAGAGGGTTAGGGTCGATGAATTGGGGACTTAGAGGAAAACCGGTGGAGACGGTTGGTGTGTGGGACAACATTAGCGAGGAGCATTGGGCGGGGCGGTGGTGGATGACTAAGCTAGTGGATGGGTTGGGTTACAGGAGAACTCCATCCAAATAGGTTAGTGAGGCAATGAGGAACAATGGTGTCTCGGCACTTAGCGGTTGGGTTGGAGTTGCCATGTAGATGGGAGAGAAAGAGCAGGGTTGAGACACGAAGATCCCAACTCAGGCGCCATGGTTATGGCCGGAGAAAGAAGAAGGTGAAAGTATAGAAGAAGGCCTTAGATGAAATATTTTGGCAATGATCTAATAATGGCTCATCAAGAAACAAAGGTGGAGCAAAATTTACAGCGACATCTACACGTCTCCGGCTTCACTACCACGGTGAAAATTGAAGACCAGTATTAAACCATCACGAAATTACAAATACATTATGCCATATGTATATTAGATTGCAGATTTCAGAAATGATCAGCTCCCCCTCCTTCACCAGTAACCAGTAGTCCAGACCCCACGTCTCAGAACAGCAGGTTGAAAGAATGTATCGATCAGTGCTAGTTGTTACACGTACATATACATACATATATATACATATATTTATACACGTACTCACCACGTACTCTTTTCAATTTGTGTGTTTTAGTGAATCGAATCGAATCGAATTTTCACCGTGCAATACATGCATCGATGCGACGACGTGCACGAGAGATCGAGAACAACTACGTACGACTGTTCAGTTGAGTTGAGTCAGTCAGATTGCCATGCCACGTACAATGTGTTTGTGTGTGTGTCGGTTTGACGTACGATCGGCGATCGATCACCTCCCCTTCATGTCGGCGAGCTGCTGGAAGAGCTCCCCGGCGGCGGTGGTGGACGCGTCGGGCACGCCGCCGCCCGAGGCGCTGGCCGCGGGGACGACGGCGCCTCCGCCGCCGCCCGAGGCCGCGGCGCCGTCCTCCCCGTCCTGCTGCGCGCCCTCGGGCGGGTTGGCGTCCTGCAGCTGCAGCGCGTACTCGAGGTTCCACAGCACGTCGCCCATGGAGATGCGGTCGCTGCCGAACTCGGCGAGGCACTTCTCGGCGGTCTCGGCGAACTTGGCGAGCGACTCCGGGTTGACGGTGCCGGCGAGCTTGGGGTCCATGATCTTCTCGATGAGGCCCTTGCGCTTCCACTGCATGCCCCACTCCGCCAGGCTGACCTGCTCCCGGGGCAGCTGCGGGTCGATGGGCGGCCGCGCGCACAGCGCCTCCAGCAGCACCACGCCGAAGGAGTAGACGTCCGACTTGTCCGTCAGCTGCTGGCACCGGAAGTACTCCGGGTCCAGGTACCCGAAGCTGCCCTTCACGGCGGTGCTGACGTGGAGCTGGTTCATGCCGGGCCCGTCCTTGGACAGCCCGGAAGTCCGACACCTTGGCCACGAAGTTGTCGTCCAGCAGGATGTTGGTGGTCTTGACGTCGCGGTGGATGATCCCCTGCGCCGTGCCCGTGTGCAGGTAGTGCAGGCCCTGGCGGCGCCGATGCAGATCTCCAGCCGCTGCTTCCACGGCAGCGGCGTCACCCTTTCGTTGCCGTAGATGTGGTCCCGGAACACGCCGTTGTGCATGTACTCGTACACCAGGATCATCTCCTGGTTCTCGTCGCAGTAGCCGATGAGGGACACCAGGTGGCGGTGCCGCAGCTTGGACAGCATCTGGATCTCCGTGTTGAACTCGTTGATGCCCTGCTCCGACTCGGCGCTCCCGCGCTTCACCGCCACCTTGGTGCCGTCGTCGATCTCGCCGACGTACACGTTGCCGAACCCGCCCACGCCGATGATGTTCTTCTCGTCCCAGTTCCCGGTGGCGGCCTGGATCTCGGCGAACGAGAAGAACCGCCCCAGGCCCATGGTGGAGGAGAAGGTGTTGCCGCTCTTGTGGGACCCGTACCCGCCCTTGCCGCTGGCGGTGAAGGACTGGCCCGTGTGGATGGGGAGCAGCCACGACGAGAAGCTCTCCCGCCGCTCCCAGTCCTGCGGCCGCTTGTACCACTTCACCACCATGGCGCCCAGCCCCGCGAACGCGCCGAACATCATGGCGAACCCGACGGCCGCCACCGCCTTGCGCCCGCCGCTCCCGTCGTCGGCCTTCCGCCCGTCCACGCCGAACTCGCCGTCCAGGCTGCCCACGGAGTTGCTCATCTTGAGCACCTCCATGCCGTTGAGCAGCGCGTCGATCCGCCCCGTGTCCTGCCCCATGGGCCCGACCTGGACGCTCAGCTTCCCCTTGCCGTCCGCGCCCTCCAGCGACGACGAGTTCACCACGAAGTCCTTGTAGTAGGGCGCCGCCAGCTCGCCGCCGGTCACCGTGGACAGGTCCAGCCCGGACACGGCCTTGCGCCCGCTGATGTACACGTCGAAGTAGAGGTCGTTGGTGGCCTTGCTCACGATGTCGGCGAAGAAGAGGCGGACCAGGTAGCTGAAGGACGGGTCCACGTCCACCTTCCACGTCAGGTTGAAGGTGGGGCTCCCCACGTCGGCGTCCGCCATCTTGGCGGCGCTCGCGTACACCAGCGTCGGCGCCACCAGCCGGGACGTCCCGTCGGGGAACTTGATGGTGCTGGTGGGCACCGACACGTCCTTCACCGCCTCCTTGGTCTGCACGTACGCCGCGTCGGTCTCCCACTGCCGGCCCAGCGTGTCGTTGGCGGGGCCAATGGCGGGGCCGCCGACGTTGATCCGGTACAGGACCTGGTACGCGTCGTGCACGAGGCCGGTGATCTCGCCCAGCGGCGCGACGGCCAGCGCCGAGTCAGTGATGAGCTCGTCGGGCGCGTTCACCACCTCGATGGCGTTCACGAAGGCGGCGGAGCCCTTGAGCGGCTGGAACTTGAGCGCGAGGTGGTTCTCGGTGGCGTTGATCACGAACTCCTTCATCACCGGCTTGTTCTCCGGGGTGAAGCTGTGCAGCAGGACGTTGTCGTCGGTGACGACGCTGAAGGTGGCCGACGCGAGGTCCACGTCGCCGCCCTTGATCGGGAAGAGGTAGATGCGGATGAAGTGCCACCCCGGCACGGTGAGCGGGAAGCTGTAGACGGCCTCCTCCTTGAAGACCCGCGCGGTGGCGTACAGCGGCGACGGCACGTCGGCCTTGTCGTCGGCGGCGACGCGGATGGCGTCGTTGGCGGAGAGCAGGTGGTTGGCCTGCGCGTCCGTCTTGTACGACTTGCCGTCGGCGGTCACGGGCGCCGTCCCGCCGCAGTCGATCAGGAAGCTGTCCTTGGGCGTGAAGCTGGACGGCGTGGGAGGCGTCTCCGCGCCGCTGTCGGTCACGGGCCGGCCCTGCCCGGACACAGTGGTTGTTGTCGCCACCAGCGCCGCGGCTAGCAGCAGCAGAAGCAGCGCCGGCGGGAGCGTCCCGCGGCGCGTCATGGCTGGTGTGCTACGTGCTCCACCACCACCACCAGCAGCGCTTGCTAGCTACCTAGTCCAGCGTGCGTGCACGTCACCACCAGCACCGGCACCGGAGGGCGGCAGAGCAGCACCGGACGCCGGCACACGCTGCAGGCTCTGACTGGGTGGGTTATTGACGGTGGCGGGGCCCTCTCACCCTCTCTCTGGTTGGTGGGCCCAATCGGAGGAGAGGGAGGAGGGAGGGGGTGAAATGGCGGGTTATGTGGTGGCCACCGGCGCGCCAAGTTTAAGCAGCCCGCGCGGCCGCCCGCTATGTTTGGGGTGGTGGCCACTGGCCACAGGCCGGCGACCGGGTCACCGCCGAGACGTGCGCTCCACCGCATTCTCCGGCCCCCGCTGCCGCTGCGTGCCAGCTCACCTGCACCTGCACCTGCACCTGTGCGCCAACCTGCCATGTGCATGCTGCCTATTCTTGGAGAATGCTGTAATATGCATCGTTTTGCTTCCTTTCCTAGGGCCCAACCAAATGCATGCAATATGCATCGTTTTGCTACCGAGTTGGGCTTGCTGGCCAATTCCCCACCTAGGGTTTGCGGGGGAATCATATACCCCTCGGCCATATCCCCTCGGTCTAATCTAGACAGCCGCCGCCGACGCCGCCGCAACCGGACGCCGCCGACAGCCAATGCTCCCCTTGGCCTCTTCCCCTCAGCCTAATCTTCCACGTAAGAAGAGCTGACCGCCGGCCGGAGGTTAGGAAGGGCGATGGAGAGCGGGGGTGAGAGGAGGGCGATGGAGAACGGGGGCGGGACGATGCGGAGGTTTCCAGCCACGGAGTGGGTCATGTGTTCCACGTGCTCCGGTTTTGTGCGCAGGAGGAGAGCGGGGGTGAGAGGAGGGCGATGGAGAACGGGGGTGAGAGGAGGGCGATGGAGAATGGGGGCGGGACGATGCGGAGGTTTCCAGCCACGGAGTGGGTCATGTGTTCCACGTGCTCCGGTTTTGTGCGCAGGAGGGGGCACAGAGCCGAGGTGGTGGAGGTGGTGAAGGAAGCCAAGAAGATGTGGGACTTGATGAAGGCGGTCCTGCTGCACGGGCCCCTCCAGGAGAGAGAGCCGGCTGAGGCGACGAAGGAGCAGTGGACGGTTCTGCAGAAGGGGAGGATGATTATGATGGAGACCAAGAAGTGCCCGACTTGTTCCGGTTCGCTGTTAGAGGCGTGCCCGACTAGCTCGATGGAGGAAGGCAGCGAGTTCATGGCTGTCCTTCCGTCGGAGGGCGGGGTGGAGAGGAAGAAGATTGCGATGGAGGACGAGGCGATGGTGGCAGACGCCAGATCGGAGCAGAAGTTGAAGCAATCGAGGGAGGAGGGCAAGAGATCTAGCAGCGGATTGGAGGAGAAGAAGGCGAAGAGCGAGGATAAGGAAGGCAGCGGATCAAAGAAGAAGAAGGCTAAGAGATCGAGCGAGGTATTTCTTTTATTTTCAGAGTTGCTTTCTTTGGAATCTTATTTCAAGTTTGATTATTAGAAGGAAATATTTATTTCAATGAGTTCCCCATTTTTAGTTAAACTGCTTGAATTCCGGGCAAAAAGGGGTACTCTTTGTATAACTACATTGTATAGTCTCAAAATGCTTTAAGCGGGAAATAGCTAGTGTAGAATTTGTCTGATATAGAACACTTATATCGATAAAATAGTTTGAACTATTTACTTAGAAGGGCACGCATCCTCTTTTAAAATGCTAAATCGGTGACCTATGTATAAAAAAGGAGTTTTTTGGATTTGAAGAAAAATAAAAGGAATTCTATCTATTTTTATTTTCCATTTATTTACTTTGTTTTCCTTAATGAAATTGAAATTATTAACTAACAGATGGATGGCAGTGGATCGAAGGAGGCGAAGATGAATGGCAGCGAATTGAAGGAGGAGGCGAAGATAGAGGACACCATCAAATCGGACGGCGTAGATAGGAAGACTAAGATGGAGATTTTTAGGTACAAGAAGGCCTTCAAGAGTTTGATCGATCAGCCCCCTGTCAAGTTTCAATGGGAGGTGGAATCGGCTGTCGGAAATAGGAAGACTAAGATGGTGACTCAGAGGTTGGACAAGAAGTCCATTCATATTTTCAAGAATCAGCCCCCTCCCAAGCCCCTCATCGACAATTCGCTTTACGTGAACCAACGCATGATTGATATTATTACTGCCCATGATGAGGTTGATCGTGTGTTACTTGAGTACTTGCAATGCCATTCCTCCATCAAGGGGTATGCTGAGGTCCAGCTGGAGGTCACCGATGGCGAAGGCGATGACCACAAGTTGGTGTAGCACTGTTGTCACTTGTGGTTGGTGTGGTAACGAGTTAAGGCTGCCTAGCATAATAATTATATTTTAGTATAAGTGATGAACCTGCGCTTGTATCAGAGATATTCAGCTTTGTTAGCTTGTACTAGTAGTATTTAAGTTGTAAAAGTGGTATCTTTTGTCATATGAGTACCTTGGTACTGATGTTATTCTCACATCTTAAGACTTGAGTTTCTATATTTTCCTAGAACTTGCTCGATTCAGATGTTATTTAGTTGATGTCTCCGTGCAATTATTGTCTCATATCTTAAGACGAGTTCTATATTTTCCTAGAAGATGTTATTTAAACGAGCTATTGTTTATGTCTCCAAACAGCGCGGTGGCCGTGCTATTGTTGATGTCTCCAACCAGTGCGGTGGCCGCGGTTGTTATGGGTAATATTTTTTTTGTTGTTGTTTCTTTTGTTAACCTTCTTTCCTGATTATAACAACCTCTCAGTATCATACTAGGGAAAAGCCATACCATATGGACCCTCAAGCTCACCAGGAGGTGAGGAAAAATGTTAGGTACAAACCACCTTATCAGCATATTTAGGAGTTTTTTTTGTCCCCCCAAAAAAGCATATTTAGGAGTTTTCGAAAAATGTAAAACGATACATATTCATAGTGCATCTATAGATGTACATTCTCACAAAATTTGAGATTGAAAGTTTCAAACTCATTTTATACAAAATTGTATGGAAAATGACAAATTTTGGGTGCATATATGCAAAAAAATTGTCTTCTAGTGCCTATACAGATGAAGGGTCTGTTCGGCTGGTATTAAAGTCGGCTGAAGCTGATTTGTTGTGAGAGAAAAATACTATAAATTCTAGCTGCTAAGCCGACTGATAAGTTCAAGCAAACATGCCTGAAATTTATTCTTTTTGTATGATTTTTTCTAGATGGAGTTTTGAATCTCAAATTTTGTTATAATAGTATACATCTATAGATACACTATGGGTGTGCACAGTTTTCAATTTTTTGAAAGATTCAAAGTGTGGTTGTTGCCGAGTGCAGGCTGCAGCAGGGGAAAAAAACAGTGCGTATTTGGCAGAGATGCCGCTGAACGCCGCCGATTTCCGAGGACTTCGGGGTGAGTTTGGATGGATGAAAGATGACCGGCCGGCCGGAAAATTGGCACCACGTCACTGCACTTTTGCTGTCGAGGTCACGGGCTTGGTGCTGCCTGGCGTACTAGCTCTGGCTCAGCGGAAGCGTCGCCGCTCTGTGCACTGCCTGCAGATCGCGTCACGGTCGACCAGCAGCAGTGGTCGTGCAACAAAATGTCAGCTTTTTCCACACTATTTGGGTCTATTCGCTGGTTGGTGCTGGCGTTGGTTTGAGCTAGCTGGTGCTAGTTTTTTGTGAGAGAAAAACACTGTTGGCTGACTGATTTGGGCTGGCTGAAACCAACCAGCGAACAAGCTGTTTGTGTTCTTCGTTCCAGTACCGGGGAAAATACAACAGTGAATGGGGAAAAAAAAGATTTGTGCTTAACTTGGCAGAGTGGACGTGATCTGCTGGAGGTAAAGAATCCTGGAACAAGCGAGAGTCAAGGGCAGTGCAGTATTGCTTGAATTTTTTCGACTGATCCGGTTCTTTTACCCTGAGAATCCTGATGCATGCCGATGCAACGGCCTCGGCTGCAAGCTGACTAAATAATGAGGTAAAGAAAAGAGGAAAAAAGAGAGAAGAAGCAGGCTGTAAGTTTACAGTCAGCTTAGTCACAAGAGTAAGAAACAAACTTTGTGAAAGAGATAAGTGAAACATATATTAATAATGAAGAGGTAACTAATATATAAGTGGACTGGGATAAGACTAAAAAACCTTAGAGACAACAATTATTAGCTTTGCTCTAAATCCAAGCTTTGCCTTCGACATTCCACCTTGGGGCCCACCAATAACATCCCAACGTCACTGCCGGTTATGGACGTGGTTTATAGAGGGGGACAGCCGCAACAACCAGCTATTGACAGCTGCTTTGTCAAACTACCGCTCCGTAGTATTTCTTAACAACATCCGTTGCTGGCGCAACGCGTTACTTCAGATGATGCTAAGTCTGTCTCCAACGGCGAAACCCAAACGCAAAATAGGTGGTTCACAATACTTTGCATACCTAAAAATATGCTCCAACAGAAGACCCAGACAAAGGACCCATTTTACATCCGAGACCATCCAGAACGCAAAAAAGCGTCGTCGAGGAGAGACGACGCAAAAATCTTGCGTTGTAGTGGTGGGCCCGCGGACGAGATGATGGCGAGGACCGCAACGGGAAGCGGCCGGCCTCGTGCCCCGTCTAGCAGCCCCGACTCCCCCTCCGTCGCTACCGAGAGAGAGCTGCGAGAGATGGAGGAGCTGGAAAAAGTAGATCTCACTGGATCCTTCTCCCTTCTCACGCGGGATGGACGCCGCTGCCCCTAGATCCACGCACTGCGGCTCCTCTTCCCTCCTCACGCGCGTAGCCGGCGACGGAGAAGAAGCCCGGCGGCCAGGAACGACGGAGCGAGGCGGGGCGGCGATGAGAGGCGAGACGGCGCGGGAGGGCTGGAGCGGATGAGGCGAATGCGCGACGGGAGGTGTGGGGCGGTGGTGCTAGTCCGAGCAGGAGCGGTGGGGTGGCGGAGAAGAAAGAAGAGTTGGTGGTGCGCCACGGGATCCCGGTCTCCCCAGAGCGATGGGCTAATTTTGGGTTCGCTGTTGGAGAAAGAAAATTTTAGGTGGGTGACCCAGTGACTGTTCGTAACTCAATCCTTAGAATGGTCTTGTGTTTGGATTTAGGCTATTGGAGATAGTCTAATAACGCTTGGTATGCCGTGGCAGCAAACAAACAAACTGGTTTTCACTATAGCTAACACCTAACATAATGCAGACGTGCCCAAAAAATCGATATGAGCATGGGATTTCCTAAGCTAACACGCGCTTAATAGCTTGTTGCCTATATTTATTTATTTATTTATTTATTTATCTCTAACTATCGTTCTGTTCGCTTGGCTTTTAAACCGTACTTTTCGATCAACGAACAATATTTTTCTCTCATAATAAATTAGTCAACAGTATTTTTAGTAATAGCTTATCATGAGCCAAGCGAACATAGCATATAGATGGATCGGTGGATAGATCCTCGCCTCCGCGCGAGTCCGTGTAGGCGTGCAAAATCAACCAAGGATAGGGACGGGGGGATTCAACTCTGACAAAAAAAAATCCTTCCAAAACTTGAACCGAAAGCAATGTAGGTCTTCTTCAGTTTCTTTTCCAAAAATTTACACCATATCGCATTGAATGTTTGAACACATGCATAAAGTATTAAATATAGACTAAAAAATAACAAATTACATAGATTACGACTACTTTGTTAGACGAATCTTTTAAGCCTAATTAGTCCATAATTTGACAATAAAAGACTATAGTAACACATGTGCTAATGACAGATTAATTAGGCTTAATAAATTCGTCTCGTAGTTTACTGACGAATTCTTTAATTTGTTTTTTATTAGTATCCCAGCACCCCATATAATGCTCTCACGTGACATCCAACGTGACACAACGAAACCTACACCCTGTAACTCAATAAGGCCGCAGTACGTGTACTACTCACCTGCCGTCACGGCATCACCAACACCAACGCCATGTTTAGTTCCCCATTTTCTAGAATTTGGTACTATGCAAAAAGAAGATTTTTCATCACATCAAATTTACGGTACATGTATGGAGTACTAAATATTGACGAAATCAAAAACTAATTACACAATTTGGTTGTACTTTACGAGATGAATGTTTTGAACCTAATTAGTCAACGATTGAATAATTATTATCAAATAAAAACAAAACGACACTATAGTGATTCGGCGGGCGCCGAATCGGCCGAACTAAACGCGGCCCAACTGCCTGACCTCCAGCTCCAGGTCGGTGAAGTCCCAATCAGAGAGCCGCAAAAAGCTCCAACCATGCCAATTGCCAACTCCGGACCGGACGAGACGACACCCTGCACCGCTGTCCGCTGTCCGCTGTGCTCTCAGTCTGAGGTGGCCAGGTCCAACACGATCACCACCCGTGTCGCCTGTTTTTTTTTCCTTCATTTTTTTCATCCGTATATACTACACTTATCATAGAAATTACCACCCGTATCATAGAAATTACTCCTACAAAAAAAATTCTCTCAATTCCAAATTATAACACATTTGACTTTTTTTTACCCCAAGTTTAACCATTCGTCTTATTCAAAAAAAGTTATATAAACATAGTCAAATTTAAGTCATTCTTGAAGAATTTTTATTAATAAATTAAGCCACGACAAAAGAAGTGATATTTTACACAAATTTTTAAATAAAACGAGTGGTCAAACTTTGTGTCAAAAAAGCCAAACGTCTTATAATTTGGAATGGAATGAGTAGTATAGTAATATATATTATACATATACAGTACGCCAAATGTGCGAGCATACTGTCGTACTCCCATTGAACGACTTTGCAGCATCGTCATACCGGTAGTTACGAAAAAGCTTAAAAGTCATCATATGTATAAACCCTGTTTAGCTCTAGAAAATCCTAGTCACATGTAGCTCTAAAAATTTTGAATCTAGAATGCAAGCTTGTTCAGTGCATTTAATGACTAATTTTGTTTACATATTTTTTTTTACTTTACTTTAACCTGCAAACTACAGAGCTAAAGCTTTGCTAAATGGACCCATGCTCAAAGATGGTTTTGATTAATTTTGTTCCGTGAAGAAACGACATTATTGCTTTTTGGCAAATAAAAATGATTACTTGTACAACTTTATTTACAATGCCATTAATAAGATTGTTTTTAAGTAATTACTTGGATTGAGAAAGAGAAAATGTTATTTTGTGTGCCTATCCGGGTTGTATTGATTGATTGAGAAGGTGGGTGATATTTATCGATTGATGAGAAGGTAGCGAGTCACACCGTATTCTGCATTGGTGTCAACGTCATTTAATTCTACTAGAACGCAAGAATTTCATTACAAGAGTCATTTTATTTTCACAAGAAATTGGAAAATTTCATGTGTTCTAAAAAGAATCTTAGTAGGTATTTCATCATTTCATATCACATAAATATTTGTTTTTTTTTTGCAAAACCAATATACTCCATCCGTCCCTAAATATCTGAATTGGAAAATTTCATGTCTTCTAAAAAGAATCTTAGTAGGTATTTCATCATTTGATATCACATAAATATTTTTTTTTGCAAAACCAATATACTCCCTCCGTCCCTAAATATATGTCATTTTTGCTTTCCGAGAAACAACTTTGACTAAATATATATATAAATATTAATATTTATGGTATATAATTAATATCATTAGATATATATTTGAATCTAGTTTTTTAATAAATTATTTAGAGATACAAATGTTGTATATATTTTTTACAAATCGAGTCAAACTTTTGCCACGGAAACGAACGACGACAGTTAATTAGAGACAGGGAGTAGATGCAAACATTGGCATATGACACTCCTTACGAACACACCCACGCTTATAAAAGCACACCAGATCCTATGCTGACATATGTAGAGACTCATTAAGTCATTATATGGAAGTCGCTATTGATGGATATATCGCCTACCATAAAAGAATAGAACTATTGAATCCTAAAATAAATCTTAAAAAATACGGTCACCCATGTTAGCTTGAGAACTTAAACTCGACAAATTATATCATAAAAAACCTAGCCATTAGTTCGAAACGAATAGGCATATATAATTTTGTTAAAGAAGAGTATTTTTTTTATCTTTTATTAAACCATATAACATAAGTAAATTTTGTTCCCCAAACATCAATTTTGCTCATGCCATTGTAAACCATATAACCATTTTGAACTTTTTGTTTACCCATGGAGCGATTTCATTAACAATTCATGCAGTGTCTAAGGATGGATACAAAGTAAAAAGCATGACATATGTACAGTACAGACTCAAGGGCTGGATTCATCATGATACAAACCTAGAGAAAATGAATGTTTCCGTATGGATCGAAAGGTATGGCAGAGACCCTACCCATCTATCAGCATGTTCGGTTGGCTGGTTCGTATTGTTGCTGGTTCGTTTATGTGAGAGAGAAGTACTACTGTCTGGTTTAGATGAACAATGTTTTTGTGAGGGGGCTGGCCAGCCCAGCCCCAGCCAGCCAGCCCAGCGAGCACGGCGTATATCGGGCTCTTCTCCATTATATTCGTCATTTTATTTGCGAAAATGAATGTTTGTTTTCCCATAAAACAGAATTGGTTTAAACATTTTCGTCCTATTGTAAAACGATTTTCCAAAGTTGTCCTTGGGAGTACGATGATATGTTATTTTTGAATTTCATATATTAATTAAGTGTATTAAATACGTAAATAAATAAATAAGATAAATGAAAGAATAAAAAAAATCCTGTCGCCCCCGCCCGCCGAAAAAAGGAACCCACGCGCTGGCCGGCTGACCCACCCCGTCCGCTCGCACAGGCGGAACCCAACCAAACCCAACCAACCCCCCTCTTCCGGCGTCGTCAACACACCGCACCGCACCGCACCACCCGCTGCTGCTCGCCCGCAGGCCGCAGCTCCCTCCCTCGCTTCCTGCACCCACCGCCCGCGGCGCTGCCCAAATCTCTCTCGCCGGTGGTGGCCCCCTCCCCCCCGCCGCTGGCGCCGCCGGAACAAGGGGGTCTGCACAAACCCTAGTAGGACTAGCAGTAGGAAGCGGAGGGGCGCGAGATCCGCCGGCGGCCGCCCCGATGGGGGACTTCAACGTGGCGCTGGTGATCGTGGCGGCGGTGGTGAGCGTGCTGGTGCTGCTCGTCAGCGTCTACCTGCTCGTGAACTACCAGCACCCCGACGACGCCAACCTGGCCTACTTCCCGTCGTGCTCGGCCTCACCGTCGCCGTCCTCTCCATCCTCATGCTCCCCGCCGTCGTCGCCAACCGCCAGGCCTGCCGCAAGGCCGTCTACAACGGGGCTTGCAACCTCACGCTCCCCATGAAGACGCTCTGGCTCGTCGTCTACATCGTCGACGCCGTCCTCGTCTTCCTCGTCATCCCTTTCGCCATGTTCTACTACGAGGGCGACCAGGACAAGTAACCTGCTCCCCCCTCGCCGCTTCCCTCCTCCTATTGCCTGCGTCTCCATCCCTCCTTCTTCTTCATCCCCGCTGATGGTTTGGATCCGCCTTCCCTGCAGGTCCGTCGGGAAGAGGCTCAGGACCGCTCTCATGTGGGTCGTCGCGTCCGCGGTGGTGCGGCCTCGTCCTCGGCATCTTATACGGTGCGCGCGGATCAGTCCATGCTCCCCCATTCCTCTCCTCATCCCCCACTCAGAATGCTCTTCTGATTTCTCCAGGATTGGAGTGAGATTCTGACTAAGATTAGTAGCATTTTAGTGTAGTTCAGTTCAAAAAAATGTGGCATCTTTTGCCCGAATCTTGTGGTGGATTCCAGCGTGTCCCTGCATTTGGGTTCGAATTCAAGCGACAGCTTTGAGCTCTGAACCTTTTTTTTCTTGAGTTACCAATCTTGTATCGCTACAACTGCACAGATCCGGAATTCAGTCCCCCTTGTTGCTGCCCCTCCGTGGATGGTTCTTCCTGTGCTTCATGAGCTTAGTTTAGATTTCTTTCTACTGTGTATATGTGTTGTCGATTACATAGGCATTCCTTTACACGGGGATTTTATTTAGTTTACACAACAAAAGATTAGTTTGTTTCCTTTGGTTTTACAGTCATATGACTATGGGAGAAAACTGTACTGCTTTTTTGATAGTTACATTGCATAGAATGGGTATGCCTTGATACAAACCTTATTTACCTTCTATACAGATCCTATCGCACAAATTACTGATCATTAACAACATGAGATGTTTACGGCTAAAATTTTATGTCATCTAGTGATCACCAGATATCATCAAGTTCCAAAGTTTCTGCAATGTCGAACCTTTTCAGTCTCGTGATGGTGTGTGTTTACCAAAGTAGGCTGATCCCATCGCCATTTTGTCGCTTCAGGACTTGTTGGTAAAGTGGACTTCACTGTCAGGCACCTATCTTCAACGGTCCAGACATTTCCAAACTCATTTTCTGGATTCTCAAGTGGCCTCAATTGCCCCGTGTGGTTAGTCATTGATGGAAATATGGAATTACCCTTTTCTTTGTTGATGACTTTTAGTCTGTTTCTGCTCTGTCTTTACGTTTCACTGAACGAGTACTAGTCTCTGACTCCATCAATTTTTCAGTGTGCGGCTTCTACCGCACCGGCTAACTCGCAAACAACTTGGACAATGCGTGCTACCTTCCCTGAATATGTGGTTGCTCTTACTACAATCGTTGGAACTGTGCTTTTCACGGTGAGTTTAGTTTAAACTTAATGGCTTGTGTTATGGACGTTTTTGGTATATGTATTGCTTTGTTCAAATTTGCCATATTTTTTAGATATGGTATAAGTTGAATCTGAAATATGAACACTGTGCTTTCCCCACCATTTAGTACTGCTGTAACCTGTAATCATGCTGTCATCTTTCTGCATTTTTTTTCTTCCATTTTGCTGACTATACTTTTGTTTGGTAGATATTTGGTGGTGTCGGAATTGCCTGCCTTCCATTGGGACTTATATTCTCATGTATCCGGCGTCCAAAAGCTGTAATTACACGCTCACAATATATAAAGGTGGGCCTACATTCTCATGTACACCGTTTTGATCATAAAGGATGCTCGCCTCACTTTTGATCAATCTTTCTGTTGCTAGTAATTATTTGGATATCAATGCTTCCTTGAGGTTAAACATGTGCCCTGCAGGAAGCAACTGAATTGGGAAAGAAGGCCAGGGAGTTGAAAAAAGCAGCTGAAGCTCTTCACCAAGAAGAAAGAAGTGGGAACAAGGGCCAGAAATGGCGCAAAAACGTGAAGGCTTTAGAAAAGGTACACATTTTTATTTATTGAAATTGCTCTTTCCAGGCATTGATAATGTTTAGCAATTACTTCCACAAAAACAACAACCACCATATTTAGCCTTTTACACGTGGTGTTATAAAGTAACCCCAAGAGATTAGTTAATGGCATATGTCCTTTACAGATGTAGGCATGCTACTTCAAATACGTAAAAGCTAAGTACCTAGCTATATATTTAGTGTAATGCTAACAACTTAGGTTATTGAGGGTCTCTGCCTCCCTTTTAGCTACTGGGTACTCTGCGGTTTGCAATACTTAAGTCTCATGTCTGTCAACGATCAGAATAAAGAAGAGTCTCATGTCTGTCAATGATCAGAATAAAGAAGATATCAATTTCAAATATTTGGTTTAAAGAAAAGTTGGAAGTATTTCTAACATGTACTCCCTCCATTCCAAATTATAAGTCGCTTTGACTTTTTTGGTTCATCCATTTTGCTATGTATCTAGACATATTATAGCAAAATGGATGTACCAAAAAAGTCAAAGCGACTTGTAATTTGGAACGGAGGGAGTATTTATAGAAGCCATCGCATTTTGGAGTTTTGGTGGTTAACAAGTTCTCTCGTTGAGTTGGTGTCCATGTGCATGCCACATGATGTTGTTCTTGTTCATATGGTACTTGGTCCCTGATTATTGTAGTGTAGACCTTTTTCCCAACGTTCCTGTCATACCTTTTTGTGTATTGTAGTGACACTAACTGCTAAGTTCAATCTTTCAAATATCAGGAGTTATTACTTCTTTAAGATGACATGAAGGCTCTAGAAGAGATATATCCTCAAGGAGAACAGGTAATCCGACATAAATTATCATGTCATACGTTTTTTTTATGTTTAAGATTCTCTCCTTGACACCTGTTATGGTACAGGCTGAGGCTACTTGGGCATTCACAGTCCTTGGGTACATTGGAAAACTTATATTTGGTGTTGTTGGGTGAGTGCAAAACTTTTGCCCTGTATCTTAATCAAGTGCACTTTCCAAAGTGATCTCTTTAAAACGTTGTTGTGCTTGCAGGTTAATTGTTTCAATAGCTTGGGTTGCACATATCGTCATATACTTGTTGATTGATCCTCCTCTATCTTCTTTCCTGAATGAAGTCTTCATAAAGTTGGCTGGTGTTTGGGGTATATTCTGATCTTGCATTCTTGTTAACTTATGCTGCTGAGGAGAACAATCCAATTAATCTTCTGATTTATGTACCAGGTCTCCTTGGGACCGCTGCTTTCGTGTTCTTCTGCTTATATCTCCTTATTGCAGTGATTGCTGGGGAGATGATGCTTGGTTTGAAACTTGTTTTCATCACAATTCACCCGATGAAGTAACCAGCTCATACCTTGGCATACTATTCTTTTTTTCCTGCAGTTTTACTTATTATAAATCTCATTAACAAACCAATCAATTTGTTTCAGATGGGGAGGCACTTTAATGAACTCCTTCCTGTTTAATGTTGGGCTCATACTACTTTGCTCCATCAGGTATGCCATCAATGCCTTCCTAACATGTTATGTTATGAATTGTTAAAGGGTTCAATTTTCATTTTCACTGAACATTACAGGGTAATGGATATTTATTACATTTCTGCAGCATGATTTGTATCTTTTCCACAATGGTCGAAACTGAATTTCATTACAAAACATGCATGATTTGTATCTGACTTTGTTTTTAAGCTTTCATTTGGAAAGACAATCGTAGTCAGTTAGAATGATCATATTGGCATGTTCCTCGATCTACTATGGTTAATGGAACTATAATTTTCCTTATGTTGCATGCACTGAAGATGAAAATGACTTCTGTATGAGCATGAGTTTTGTTAATTTTACTTGGTTTAAAGAAATGTCATAACCCTTCCATGAGTTTTGACTGCCTATTTTTGTTGACTCTGTATTTCGTGATTTAAAACCCCTCTTAATCTAATTATCATAATTTTCCTGCTATTCTACGTGCAGTGTGATTCAGTTCTGTGCCACGGCTTTTGCCTACTATGCACAAGCAACTGCTGTTCAAGAGATATTTGGCCACACATTGCAATCCCTTCGTGGAATTAAGTATCTTTACAAGTGAGTCTCAAATGAAGAGTGAAATTAGTTGCTTTGTTTACAGGTGTTGCAGACATTTAAAACTTGAATGTATTTTGATACTTGAACCACAAAATATGCAGTTACAATGTTTTCCAGTATGGCTTTGTTGCTCTTGCCATCCTCACACTCTTCTACTATGCTATATTTGTAAGTCCTTTTCATCAAGGGCTTAGTCAATAGTCATTTACATTAATAACTATAAAAGAAATAAGGTTTGACTGTATGTTATTATCAATACTTGTTAGGGATGGAGAAAGAGGAAACCAACAGGAAGGTTCCAGCTCTCAAATTGATTTGCTCTGTAAGTGAAGCTTGACGGATTCATCATATTTGCCCCCTGAGTGATAGTTCAGTTAGCGTCTTAGGGATGTATATGATCAACCAAACGAAACCGAATCATCTTGAGTTATTAATGTAACCCACAGTCCATGGCGCATTTCTAGAATACGTTTTCCTATTTTGAAAACATAGTTTCTTCGATTAGATCCAAAATACGCTTTCATCTATTTACAGTTTTGCCACTATTTTCCTTAGGCCATAACTTCTTCGTTTTACCTCCGATTTGACCCGTTCAAGTTGCGTTAGATTCGTAATTGAGTAATCTACATGTTCAAGCTACTGTTAAATATATTTTCAACTTTTAAAATTCAAGGTTAGATTTAATCTATTATTTTATTAAAGGAAATCTTGTTTAATTCATAACTTTTCCGTTATAGCTCTGATTAGAGTGCTTTTCACGTCTGTGTGTCCGTAGTAACGTGTAGAACATTTTTAAAACCTTTTTACTTGCTATTTCATATGTTTGGTGTACTGTTATGATTTAGTTCTATTGTTTGCTTCGTGTATGATTGCATGGATGCTTGTGTGGTGTTCTATGATCATGTCCAGTCAGTGAGAAGTACGTTGGTGACATAGAAGAAGTTGGTGACATAGAAGAAGTCCTTTGGAGGTTATAATTCAGTAGAAGATCAGAGTTTTAAGGCAAGTATAACATGTGATCTTCCTTGTTGTCCTATTCACCTTAATATCATTTTAATCATGTGCATGTGTCTACCTTGGCAACCGTAGTAAGTTTCCTAGCTATTTAATATCCTGGATTCCTTGTTACGTATGGGGTATTGCATTGGGTAGTATGATGCTAGTGCTCAAACTAAAGCCATGATCTTTTAACTTGACTAATGGATTATGCAATAAACACTAAAAGATGTTTTTTAGCAACATGAAACAAGGTGGCTAGAGCATTGGGCTGTTTTTATGGTGCTCTAGATTCTTCTCCCTAAGGATTTATCTGTAAGCGAACATTCGGGACTTACAGGATAGCTGTAAAGGCTACATGGCTCTGGCTTTAGCTCAGTATGAGGACCTTTTCTAGCTTGTTAGAGGTTACCTTTATGGCGTAAGAATGACTTGCCGAATCGGGTGTAGTGCGGCCTCTGTCCCCTTAGGTATAGGCTGCGCGTCATTATGCCATCGGGAAGGGGGGCTCTACATCTGTTTGCCGAGTGAATCTAATGGCCCTAACTTGTTAGACGAACCTTTGAAAGGCTTCATAGTGAACCCTGCCGACCTTCTTTGGTAGTGGGTTAAGAGGCTGATCACCTCGGGTGAAAGGGTAAATCACGACTCACAGTGAGAGTGTACAACCTCTACAAAACCAAACCATAAACTAAGCCTAATGATACTTGATTGTGTCAAGTGATTATGCTTATTGGTTTTCAGCTGAAAGACACAAGATGATGATGAAGGCTTAGACTCTCAGCAAGCACACAATAGGTGGTTAAAGCATAATCAACCTTGTAAAGTATGTTAAGGAGAGACTGGAAGGCAGTAAAGTACCACGTTTGCAATGCAAACACAAGTCTTTCTGGTTTCCTCTTTTTTGTTTCCACACCAAAGAAGTCTGTTAAAAACTACTACAGGAGAGACACTGCATAGCATTAAGTGATGAATCATTTCATTTTAGAATGTGAGTCTAGGTAATGGTTAAAACTTTAAGATCAGAATGGACATAAATTTCATACCAAATTCAAAACATTTACATATTATAAGATCTCAACGATAAGGAACATATATAGAAAGCTAAGATTGATTCTTCACATGAATATTTTACAGATGCGAATGTGAACATTTGAGCAAAATAAGGTCATTGAAAAACTTGAACAACATACTGTCCTAAATTATGACATTTCAAATAATGTGTTGGTTTCAAAAAAAAGAATCTCTATAAGAGGCATTGGCTAAAATGATTCAATATGGTTGACAGTCAAGATACATAGTAAGATGCAGTTACAACAAGCCAAATTGAAGCATGCAAAGCAAAAACATTTTTCTTTCTTTGAAACCGAAGCGACAAATTACAGAGAGAAGTCAAAATCACGTAGATAAATATGTAACACGATATAGTCTTCAGCATATGCATTCTTTTTCAAAACGTGGCAATCCCCATTTCCATTACAGTGGCAACGGAAACACAAGCAGTTTAAGACTTGTTTAGAGCATCAAAAGAAAGCGCTAGAGGTAGCTAGATCGCATCAGGAGCTAGAGATATCTAGACCGACCGAAACGGAAAATAGGAACAACACACTGGTTACATCCAGGTTCAGAGACAAAACTTCACAAAATTCGTGCAGATTACAGAACATTGAATCTGCATAAGCGTCTTTCCACATTCTTGTCTGGTTACTGTCCTTGATCATCAAAACATCATTGGCCTGCCCGTCCTCCTCATCCCTCCTTATCCACAGGAAAGCCAAGAAGTTGTCCAACCCGGTTGAAAAGAGCAGGCATGGTATGGAATGGAAACTTATTCACACCTAATAAGTTAATGTCTTCTCTCATCTTTTGACACAAGGCTAAAAAAAAGATGACCTGTGTTAAAGTTGGGAAGTAGTCCTAATTATTATTTTTTACCATTTTAACCTCTATGTAATAACAACGATATATATCTTTGTAGTTAAACTAAAATTTATAAACAGAGGTTCTAAAAATTTAATCAATAACAGTAATATGTTCAATAACATCTTTACAAAAATATCAGGGCACTGGGCTAACTAAAAATCTTGTGTAACACATGATTAACATTTTTTCACGCAGGTAAGAAAATATAAGGGGAAGAAAACAAATCATTTTTGTAATGTTCTGTTTTTGTATATTCACCTCCACTCTTCTAGAAAAAATCAATCGATTAACTTTGAAGCTCACACGTCGAAGAAGACTAAGGCAACAACTCTTGTGATTTTCATCAACGATGTCATCCTACCAAAACTGGTATGTAAGAACCACATCTAGATTGACATTAGGAGGAGTTAGTAACTTTACCAGTTCTTGAAAAAAGTGATCAGATTGAATGAGATGCTTCATCGATCCCTCAGGAACATAATCCTTCATAGGTACCTTGCCCTCCAACTTCGGCGGCATGAAGAATTCACCTCCAATGGTTTTCACTTCTGCTAAAAAAGCTTTCAGCTTTAGGAAGTAATCCATCGACCTACTTTCGAGCACCTACAACAATTTGATTAAAACATACATTAATCAAAACCAATCTGACAAAGCCAAACAATTGACAGAGGCTAAAAGGAACTTACGTGTAACTCTAACAAAGTTCAGCTGAGCGAGTGAATAGTCATCAGTGCCATCATACTCATATCGCTCCTTGTTCTCCTCAAGAAAATCATATGAAGTAGCAATTGACCTGAACGTCTGAAGCAACTCTGCATTTAGTCCACAAACGCGCGGGTTCCCTCCAAGATTGAACTCTGAAGGATACTCTTACTACAAAAATTAACAAATCAAAAAAATATTTAGTATCTTTTGTATAGTTCAAACGAGCAACAAGTAATAGAGCAATAAAGTATGTTCAGACTTCACATAGTACTCAGGTTACGTTCAGTTAACAGACAATGTACATTTAGGGTACAGACTAAAAACAGGATTGTACTTACCCAATCCATGTTCAAACGGGCCCCTCTTTGTCGTTTGAGCTTCTGCAGTTGTTAGGAGGCGACGACGGCGATCGTGAGCGCTTACGCTCACCAAGGTTCCGAGTACAACCTTGTTTTTAGTCTATACAACCCTGTTTTTACTAGGGAGTCCGTTTGAACATGGATTGGGTAAGTACAACTCTGTTTTTAGTTTGTACCCTAAATGTACATTGTCTGTTAACTGAACGTAACCTGAGTACTATGTGAAGCCTGAACGTACTTTCTTGCTCTATTGCTGGTTGCTCGTTTGCATTGTACAAAAGATACTAAATATTTTTTTGATTTGTTAATTTTTGTAGTACAAGTATCCTTCAGAGTTCAATCTTGGAGAGAACCCGCGCGTCCGTGGACTAAATGCAGAGTTGCTTCAGACGTTCAGATCAATTGCTACTTCATATGATTTTCTTGAGGAGGATAAGGAGCAATATGAGTATGATGACACTGATGACTATTCACTCGCTCAGCTGAACTTTGCTAGAGTTACATGTAAGTTCCTTTTAGCCTCTGTCAATTGTCTGGCTTTGTCAGATTGATTTTGATTAATGTATGTTTTAATCAAATTGTTGCAGGTGCCCAAGAGTAGGTTGATGGATTACTTCCTAAAGCTGAAGCTTTTTTAGCAGAAGTGGAAGTCATGGGAGGTGAATTCTTTATGACGCCGAAGTTGCAGGGGTACCTATGAAAGATTATGTTCCTGAGAGATCGATGAAGCATATCATTCAATCTGATCACTTTTTTCAAGAAGAACTGGTAAAGTTACTAATTCCTCATGCCAATCTAGATGTGGTTCTTACATACCAGTTTTGGTAGGATGATATCGTCGATGAAAATCACAAGAGTTGCTGCCTTAGTCTTCTTCGACGTGTGAGCTTCAAAGTTAACCGATTGATTTTTCTGGAAGAGTGGAGGTGAATATACAAAAGCAGAACATTACAAAGGTGAATTGTTTTCTTCCCCTTATATTTTCTTACCTGCGTGGAAAAATGTATATCCTGTGTTACACAAGATTTTTAGTTAGCCCAGTGTCCTGATATTTTTATAAAGATGTTATTGAACATGTTGCTGTTATTACATAAATTTTCAGAACCTCTGTACATAAATTTTAGTTTAACTACAAACATATATATTGTTGTTATTACATAGAGGTTAAAATGGAAAAAAAATAGTTAGGACTGCTTCCCAACTTTAACACATGTCATCTTTTTTTTTGTAGCCTTGTGTCAGGATGAGAGAAGACATTAACATATTGGGTGTGAATAAGTTTCCGTTCCATACCATGCCTGCTCTTTTCAACTGGGTTGGACAACTTCTTGGCTTTCCTGTGGATAAGGAGGGATGAGGAGGACGGGTAGGCCAATGATGATTTGATGATCAAGGACAGTAACCAAGACGAGGATGTGTAAAGACGCTCGATGCAGAATCAATGTTATGTAATCTGCACGAATTTTGTGATGTTCTGTCTCTGAACCTGGATGTAACCAATGTGTTGTTCCTATTTGTCGTTTCGGTCTAGCTATCTCTAGCTCTTGATGCGGTCTAGCTACCTCTGGCGCTTTCTTTTGCTGCTCTGAACAAATCTTAAACTGCTTGTGTTTCCGTTGCCTCTGTGATGGAAATGGGGATTGCCACGTTTTGAAAAAGAATGCATATGTTGAAGACTATATCGTGTTACATATTTATCTACGTGATTTTGACTTCTTTCTGTAATTCGTCGCTTCGGTTTCAAAGAAAGAAAAATGCTTTTGCTTTGCATGCTTCAATTTGGCTTGTTGTAACTGCATCTTACTATGTATCTTGACTGTCAACCATATTGAATCATTTTAGCCAATGCCTCTTATAGAGATTTTTTTTTGAAACCAACACATTATTTGAAATGTCATAATTTAGGACTATGTTGTTCAAGTTTTTCAATGACCTTGTTTTGCACCTAAGATGATTTTGACAACATGGGGCTACAATAGAAGGGTACAAGAAGAACTAACCGCTGAACTGAGAAGATGCACCTAAGATGATTATAAGTAGTAAACTGCAGCAGGGTTCACATGCATGAGCTAGTTTTTGTAATTATATACATATCCAGTATAATTGCATTAATGACAAGTAGTAGTTGCAGTATTTGAAATTTGCAATTTTCATATTTATGTTCTGAGATTTTCCAGGATCATATTTTTTTCGCTGATCTTCTTTTCCTCTCTTGTTGTGGTTTTTCTGTACAATTTTTACTGATTTTCTTCTCTTTCTTCATGCATGTTATCTGTATCCGGAATTGATGGGTGTTTGTAGGGTGCAGTGGCAGATTTGTTATTTTTTCATTTTGCTTGTACCTATGTTTTTTGGGCCGATTGTTGCATTTTGGCCCAAATGAGCAGCAACTTCAGTTAGCAGGTTTTGGTTCATGCGCCCGTTAAGGTTTGGGCGGGCCCGGTAAGTGGCTGAGTGGGTTCACGGGTGCATTCGCGGATCCGTTATTGGTGTGGGAATGACAGAAGCAGCTGCAGACAGCCTGGCCGTTGGATGCAGATCTGGCCGTCGCCTGAAAAAATGTTAGATTTCAGGCACATGAAATATAGCGTCTCCCTTTATTCTGAAAAGACATCCTGTATTAACTTTGTTTGGAAAAGATAGAACTTCGCCTGTCCATTTGAGCAGTTTTTTATTCTTCCGGATCCTGATTATTCTGTTATTATTATTCCTTTTTGTTTTGTTGGCCTGACTTACAATTCGGATGACCTCCTGACCATTGAATCAAAATCTTCAAATTTTCAGTGAATAAATTTTTTCGAATTTGGCCAAAAAGAATCCTTTAAACATAAGTGTCCCTGTAAAGCATATGAACAAGGATAGTACCTATTGGAGAGGCGAAACCTTCTTAGGAAGAACTGAGCAGAACTCGCTTATGGCAAACTCGAGTAGCACCCATGGAGAAAGTTGGGATGAGTATGCTGGTTCGCTGATTAGGAACTGTGCTGAGAAGAAAGCTGCTGGAGTAGAAACGTTGATCCACATGAGCCCAGACAAGAATCTTGAGATCCAAATTTGGGAAAACTTTAAGAACAATAGAACATAAGGCTGCCCTGCTTGCAACTGCTGTGCCACGCACCCAGGCGCCCAATTGTTACACCACCAACAGGCGCCCAATTGCTACACCACCAACCGAACCCTGGGTCTCGCAAAAAAAGGGTCTTGCTGATTGTGTTCCTGGGTGGTCCGGCCTTTGGTCTCTTTTCTTGGCCCTGTGTTGTGATCCTCTTCTTGATGCAATGTCTCAGGGGAGGTCTTTCCACTAGGGATCAAGTTTCCTTTTTAATGTTGAAAGGATGCATAACAGGTGGAAGTGCACTAGCTTTTGCAAATGATATTTTCACCAAAGCACTAGTCATCCATGATGAAAATCCCAATTTGCCTGAAACATGTTTCCTCTTTTTGGGCCAAAAAGGCAATGCAAATCCTCTAGAAATTCTACAGATTCCAAAAATATTCAAATGGCTTGATCTTGTATTAATACTTCTGGCTCTGGTTCCACTGGCTGTTACACCCAATATTCATACTGTCTATGGGACCCTAGATACCATGAGACACTTATAATTCGTTCTATTATTCAATCTGTTTGTTTGTTTTCCTTTCTATTCTTAATTAACATGCATCTGCTTGACTTATTTAATAGGTGTTGACTGTTAACTTGATAGATCAGATCATGTATTTTCCTTTTGACCCAGCTAAGGCCTATACACTTCTGTGCTAGGCAGATTCATATGTTCTATACACTTCTGTGCTCGTGGGGCTCCTGATGTGCAAGTTGGTACTGTTATTTACTCACTCTAACTTCATCTGTTAAATTGTATGCTTAATATTACAGTGCATTTACAAGGGACCATATTTGTATCTGTAGATGGAAACAAAATATATGCGTAACTTGATAGATCAGCTCAGTAGTTTGTTTGAGTTTCATTTCGAACCTTAGTATTCATGACTTGATAGATCAGCTCAGTAGTTTGTTTGATTTCATTTCGAACCTTAGTACTTATGCTGTTCCAAATTCTAAGTCGTTTTGGCTTTTGTAGATACATAGCTTTTGTTATGCGCCTAAATACTATGCTATGTCTAGATACATAGCAAAAACTATGTTCCTAGAAAAGCCAAAACGTCTTATAATTTAGAACAAAGGGAGTATTCATTATTCAATACATGAATCAGCAAAGCACTTTCAAAGATTGTGAAGCCTTTTTTGTGGCAACCTGTGCAAATCTTCTTTTTCTGCCTAATCCTTATTTATACTGGCAAAGAGAAATTGGGCAATGCTTATAGTTCCTTTCTTTTTCCAGTGTGAAAGGTAGCCTTCACAGTATTAAAAACTCGGAGTTAAGCTATTTTTCTTGAATTTAGCTCAATGTGTTCTAAGCTGTGCATAAATGAGAAACATTTTGAGAAGACGAATGACATTTTTGAACTAACACCCACAACAACAACAACAACAAAGCCTTTAAGTCCCAAACAAGTTGGGGTAGGCTAGAGTTGAAACCCAGCAGAAGCAATCAAGATTCAGGCACGTGAATAGCTGTCTTCCAAGCACTCATATCTAAGACTAAGTCTTTGGGTATATTCCATCCTTTCAAGTCTCCTTTTATTGCCTCTACCCAAGTCAACTTCGGTCTTCCTCTGCCTCTCTTCACGTTACTATCCTGGCTTAGGATTCCACTACGCACCGGTGCCTCTGGAGGTCTCCGTTGGACATGTCCAAACCATCTCAATTAGTGTTGAACAAGCTTTTCTTCAATTGGTGCTACCCCTAATCTATCACGTATATCATCGTTCCGAACTTGATCCCTTCTTGTATGACCGTAAATCCAAAGCAACATACGCATTTTCGCGACACTTATCTGTTGAACATGTCGTCTTTTTGTAGGCCAACATTCTGCACCATACAACATAGCAGGTCTAATTGCCGTCCTATAGAACTTGCCTTTTAGCTTCTGTGGTACCCTTTTGTCACATAGGACACCAGATGATTGCCGCCACTTCATCCACCCTGCCTTGATTCTATGGCTAACATCTTCATCAATATCCCCGTCTCTCTGTAGCATTGATCCTAAATATCGAAAGGTATTCTTCCTAGGCACTACTTGATCTTCCAAACTAATATTTTCCTCCTCCCGAGTAGTAGTGCCAAAGTCACATCTCATATACTCAGTTTTAGTTTTACTGAGTCTAAAACCTTTGGACTCCAAAGTCTCCCGCCATAACTCCAGTTTTTTATTCACTCCTGTCCGGCTTTCATCAACTAGCACTACATCGTCCGCGAAAAACATACACCAAGGGATGTCCCCTTGTATGTCCCTTGTAACCTCATCCATCACTAAGGCAAACAAATAAGGGCTCAAAGCTGACCCTTGATATAGTCCTATCATAATCGGGAAGTCATCTGTGTATCCATCACTTGTTCGAACTCTAGTCACAACATTGTTGTACATGTCCTTAATGAGTCCGACGTACTTCGTTGGGACTTTATGTTTGTCCAAAGCCCACCGTATAACATTCCTTGGTATTTTATCATAAGCCTTCTCTAAGTCAATAAAAACCATGTGT